TTACGTAAAACTATTGTTGTTACGTAGACTGTTGTTTTCTTGTAGAATGAAAGAGCTGCGATGGTCCGTCAAAAAACTAATGGACGTTGCACGGCATTTGAAATCCATGAGAACAGTTGAAGGTATTTCTGATTAATTTGTAGTATAAATACCCCAAAAACATGATATGACATCGATAAGCATTTTGTCAGGTGCGCTTGAACTGGAGGGCTCAGAAGTCCAAGTACAGCTCAACGAAAACAAGGACATCAAAGACTTGACACCAAAAAAGGTATGTCGTGTATTTTCATGTTACACGCGTTGCGTTTACGTTACCATTTTCCATAGGGCGTGTTGCGTTCAAATGATTTACGTTATGTCAAGTTACGTCTTTGCGTTGTTGCGTTGTCGTGCATTTTTTTAAGTTTTTTTTTAATTTCACGGAGTACAAATATTGATTGTGTATGTTTATGATGAAAATAAAATACTTTCTGCGTAACGCACGTTATATTTCAATAATGTAATTTTAACTTTCTCCTTCTTAAGTTTGTTTACGTAACGTCATAATCTGCTAGGGTATTCACGTAACTGATAACTGAAATTAACGCAAAGTTCTGGTTTTCAGCCTTTAGAGGTCCACGAGACGATTGCCGAGTGTATGATATTTGCCAATCATTGGGTTGCTAAGAAAATAGCACAAGTGTTCCCTACGGCTGCTCTGGTAAGTGCTACATCTGATCATCATCACTATCATAAGCAGCATCATTATCATAGCAATATTACGTTTTTTGTAGTTGCGTCGTCACCCTCTCCCACGCCAGCAGTATTTCTCTAACCTCGTGCACTGCGCAAAATCCAAAGGCTTTACTGTCGACTCAAGGTAACACAATTTAACAATGCAGTGTTGTGCGCTCTAGYTTACGTACGGACGCAGGAATGTTTCAATAACATAGAGGTCTCTGTGCCGATATATATTTGGATTAACTGTCAAAAATTGTTCTTTAGTTCCAATAAAACACTTGCTGATTCTTTGGATGAATGCGTCGACGCGAAGGATCCTACATTTAATAAGGTTAGTCTCACTTTACGAAGGGTTTCATCTCAAATATGAATTGTTATGTAAAAGACAACAAGGTAACCCGAAGATTGTACGACGATTACACGAAGATTGTACGACGATTACACGAAAATTGTACGAAGATTACACGAAGATTGTACCAAGATTGTCCCTAATGCTCTAGTCGATTATCTATCGATCTTTCTATCACAGATTCTACGTACCCTAGCGACACAAGCGATGTCTAATGCGTTGTACTTCTCGACGGGTTCCGARTCTCCTGACGAGTATTTTCATTATGGACTGGCTTTGGATCGCTATACTCATTTTACATCTCCTATACGCAGATACGCAGACGTTATTGTAAGTAAGCCCTTTTTTCACTAGCGACGCAAGCGCAAACTCAAGCGCAAACACAAGGCTTTTTCGAAGGATGTGCTTGTAATGATAGATGCCTTTTTTTTCTCATGTAATATCTCATTCCCAGGTTCATAGGCTGCTTTTGGCAGCGGTGGAAACTGGTGACAAGGAACATTTATTAAATAACGAAGAGCTTGAGGATCTGTGCCATCACATCAACACTAAACACCGGGTATGTAACGCTTGGAACGTTAAAACGGTAGCATTGGTTACCTACTTCAATTACAATTTTTGTGAATGCACAGGAAGCCCAAATTGCACAGAAGGAATCCGTCGAGATGTTTGAATCTCTTTTCTTTCGGTCCCTTGACGATAACGACGATCGACGWTTGGTTGATGCTGTTGTCTTTAGTCTTCGAGCTAATGGTGTACTAGTRTTTGTACCAAGGTATGGCCTCACCCCACCCTAGACGGGACTATTGACCTCTATTATTTTTGCAATTTTATTCACTACCCTACATGGTAGCACTTTTAGTAAATTGCTCTTTTTTATGCTTTATTTGCATTAGGTACAGCCTTAAGGGGCCAGTATATCTTAAAAACAAAGATGGTCACGTTGTCRCGCCGTCGGATCACGCAAACGAAGAGGTGACTTTCGGGCCAGGTAAGTAGGTAACGTTTTTTTAGAAACTTAGCGTTATACACACAAGTTTTGCATGTTTGCAGGTGAGAAACAAGACTTTTGATTGTGTTTTTGATTAATAGGTTCACTGGTTCAACACGAGTACCAMATCGCTGTACATAACTCTTCTGGTGTTTTCCAGTTTCGCCTGTTCGACCACATACAGGTATACTATAGTTATGCTACAGATGAGCATGTCTGTGATATCAAAGTGTGTGAGGATGATTGTAGTGTTGATAATTAGGTGATGCTGATGTCGGTAATGATGGCTGACATACGATGATTTTAGCGAAGATGGTGGTGGTGGGTGGGTGGGTGGTGGTGGTGGTGGGTGGGTGGTGGGTTGGTGATTGGTGGTGGAGGGTGGCGGGTGGGTGGTGGTTGTGTTATCAGTAGTGTTAATGATAATGATTATTTTAATAATGATGTTGATAATCATAATACGGATATGTGGTGCTATAAAGGGTAAACTTGTTCATTCATCCTCTTCACCAATCCACTCTCTGTCACACAGGTCCGAGTGACCGTGTTGGAGTCCAAGTCSCACAGTCAGTCTCTCAAAATGGACCTTGTGTCCCTAGTTACTAGACCCAGTCCACCATCGGGGATGATCTCAGAGGAAATGACGTCATCAAACAAGATGAAGCGATCAGAGCTGATTAAGGTTGGTTGTTATGATTACGATGTGAGTTTTATCTCAATATGCCAGTTAAGTAGCAGTTTAGCAAAATGCAGTTTACAGGAAAAAGAGTGAGTGAGTGACATATTTTTTCCCCTTCAAATAACTGTTCGATTGTCGTTGTAGGAAAGTAAAGAGCATTGCTTGTTCTTATTTGTCATGTATAGTTGCATAAATAGAGCATCTATCATTTTTAGGAAGTACAAAGCAGCCAAGAAACCACAAAGGAAGACATCGAACTTAACGATGAATACAAGCGGTTTTTGTCGGAGTACGGCCAGACACACCCCACCGTCAGTATGTACTGCTTGATGGAACAATTGCGAGAATTGTCACTCTTGGATGATGAGTRACGTCATCTCGAAGCCACCAGAAAATGACGCAATTAATTACAGAATCTACATGACGTCATAACTTCATGTGATGCTATTGATTTAGATCAAACCTATCTCAGTGAAACATCAATGACGTCATTATCCTTCCCGTATATYGTGACGTCATTATTTCACAAAGAACTATTTATCAAGAGCGCTTAGTGACGTCAACATCGWAACGATACAGTGACGTCATAGATTGACGACATGTGCTGTGTAAATTAAATTTGGTAGACATGAAATATAACATTATCAATATGACGTCACACGTGATGTAGTTTACTACTAGATGGATCGACTTGTTGATGTCCCTTGTGAATTTATTCAAAATAGTTTTTCAAAGATAATTAAGTCGTTGCTCTGTATAAATATGAAATCATTTCTTATTTACGATTCAAAATCCTTKAGATAATCTCAAAAACTGACTTCGATTCTAGTTTGAATGTAAATCCAACCTTGAAGACGTTACTGTCGTCAYGGGAATTAAAGTCGACAATTAACTTTATAAAAAAGAAGCTAATAAAGTCATTTATCTGAATTATATAAAGAGCAAAAACATATTTGCTTTGGAGGGAAAATGAAATGAGAATTGCGATAATGTGAAATGAGAATCGAATCAATAAAATTATATTTTTTATAATTGTTTTATTTTATAGTTTTTTAATTAGAAATTTTCCCATTCCTTTGCCTGTGTTTGTTGAGTGAAACTKAATGTCATAGTTTTGAAMGATGGGAAGTTGACACAGCTTTTGTWRCAATCTTAACGAATAATCGAAACTCATTTGAATTTGAACACCAATATGGGAAATGTTAAGTGGATGGTAAAATATTAAAACTAGGTTTTGTCTTAAAGTAATATATAGAAATTTTCTCGTTCTATTTTATGTAGGTGRCTAATGAATTTACATTTGCTGTGATTAGGTGGCAGTTATGTTTGAAGGCAATTGAATGAAATCCCTTATTTTATCTTGACTTCTATTGTTTGATTGATAGCATTTTGCCATGGCATTGTAGCTATTTTTACCTTCCGCCCACAAAACAGTTATAAACGTTCAATTCGAGAAAAAGTCGTTCTATTTTCAGAGTTTTCATAGTATTAAACTAGTCTTTTCGTCTGCAGCTGGTTSTATCTGTTGACTTACGTCAGTTGGGCTGCCCCTATTTAATTATCATAAACTAACACTTAATCTAGGTATGTATGAATGGTAACGAACGGACATTTACATAGGCTAGAGAAATACAATGTAAGGACAACAACGATACTCTTTTCAACCGAAGATGTGGATAAACACAAACTACCTTATCCTGCTCCAGGTAAGRGGRAAAAGCTTGACGTTATGATTTTCTACTAACATTTTGAACTTAGCTCCAATATGGGTGTACACAGCCGGTATTACAATGATATAAACCATGAGAAATTTTTACAAATTGCTTCTTTGYTTAAAGGTTTTTCAAAGGATATTTCTAATGAGAGTTCCACTTTATACTTTGGCTTTGGTCTTTGAAATCTAACTCGACTTATCCTATAGTAATTTTTTGAAAGGTTTGGTTTTATATTTTTGAAGTTTGAGAAAATTAATGTTTGTGTTCATTGTACAAACAGCAATCGTATTTCTATTCTTTGCTGATTCATTTTCTGTCATTTTTTCTTTTTCTTAWCTTCAAAATCGGTACATTTTGACAGCATATCGCATTCATAATTGCTAACAAAAATATCAATTTACTTTAATCTTTTTATCTGAATAAAAACTAAAACCATCATTTCAATGTAAAGTCTGTCTCGCAGTACGCAAAGTTCGGCGAAACCTTTGACGAAGAGCAGCAACCATAAACAAAGTGAAAAAAGAGCAAACGACGAAAACATCTGTAGCCTTCAACAAAGAAAGTTTTTTTTTCTCCAGTTTTATATTTGTCAATAATGGTTATGTGTCAGTTTATAGCTAATATCCTTACACTATATTTGTCGCTCCTTTTTATTTTACCAGGAAAACTATCTTTTTATTTTACCAGGAAAACGAACTATCGGCGGTTTCTCTACTACGCTGAAAATCGTCTTTTATCATAGAGCAGTATTTTTCGTCCTTTTCAAAAAAAAACTATTTCATCTTTCGTATTTATATTTATCTTAATTATTTAAGACATGAAAAAGATAAAATGAAATCATTTATTGTTTGGATAACATTATTTTATTCCCCTTTTACCAAGGTTACAGGGAGCGTTTTCATATCGTGTGCTATTGGTAAGTTATAAATCAGTTCATTCTGATAAATGATCCATTTTAAAACCGTTCTTTAACACTTGGCAGCTTCTCTTCATTTTTGTTTTTTATACTTGAATCCTATTGAGTTTTGTAGTACGCTCTTGGCGGTCTTTTGTGCGTGTTATATACTTCCTGTGAAGTCCTTGTTTTATCCTTAAGGCCATTCGTTTGCTTTGTACAACAGTTTGTCCCGTCTCAATTGACATGGTGTTTTTATTGGATGGGTCTTCAAGCATAGGAAGCAACGACTTCATAAAGCTTAAGGACTTTATAATCAAAGTTGTCCAGTATTTCAGAGTTTCCAGTCAAGGTACACCTTAYTCAAGTGGTTTTGACAAACATTYTTATCTTTAATTTTAGCCTTGTTCCTAGGGTACTCTYATCCCCAACATGACGTCACATACAAAAGTCATGAGATTCCTCGCATTCTCGTACCCAGACACTCCTCGCTTTTCCTCAGACCTCAATGAGAAAGTCTGAATTGGCAGCCTGGGGGCGAGGCTATAACAATTGATGGCGCACTTTATAATGTTAACCAGTGAGTATGACGTCATGCAACTATAGGTCACGTGACTTGTTTTATTTCAGAATCTCGTATTGGAGTAGTACGATACAGTGACAACGCGTCCATCGAATTGTCGTTTACCGATCTACAAATAATATCATCAATAGAGAAAAAGATACGTAATATTCCATATTTGGGAGGCAATACGTACACCAATACTGGCCTAGATAAGTCACTTATCTTATTCACMGCAAATGGGCGTGGTCATGTACACCGTGTTGTGATTGTCATTAATGATGGCAAGAGCAGTAAAGGTAATTTTTAAATCCTGTTTTATTCGACTATATGCTTATTTTTCAAACCAATACCCATCCATTTATTTCCTCTTCATCAATTCACTTCCCATCCTTTTATTTCTTTATGATAGGAGAAGCTGCCATACAAAGTGCTAAAAAATTGAAAGATAATGGAATTCGAATACTATCCCTTGGTTTTGGTACGTCCTTCAGCTTGCTTGAGCTCCAACAAATAGCGACGTCCGCTGACCATGCCCATACTTACCCCAATGCCGTTAGTATGCTTAACAGCGCGACCTCAGTAGGAGARGCAGTTTGTGCAGGTAGGCTGAATTTATTTAGTGCTTATTTGGTTATGAGCGTTCAGAAATTTATCATTCAGAGTCATTCTTTCGACTTCTATCCCAGTCTTCCATCTCAAACTACCAAAGGTATCCCACGCAATGACTAATGAGGTTCTCTCCATTAACAGCATCGAGAGGAACTCAACTCTACTTCACTTCCATATCTGAGAAAGCCTTCATGATAAATCACGTGATCACCAATCATCACGTGACGGATGACCTAGAATGCGCTTTCAAATGCCTGACCAATAAGAGGTGTTTTTCCTTTAATTACTTCGAGTCCACCCAGATGTGTCAACTGAATTATTCAAACAAGCAATCCGATCCCCATGCGATAATCGACGACGAGAAATCGATTCATTACGACATGGTATTTCCACTTCGTTAAAAGTTCGGGRAAGCTTCATAAATATTTCGTTACTTTAAAAACTCAACAAAGCTAAAATCTCAAACGAAGTGAAACCGGATGGGTGCGCAAATCCTTCTTAATTCTTGAAGGAGGAAACCCGCTCCATTTGGAGGGCTGTTCTTTATTAACGCCTCTCCACCCCCTCCCCTGTCAGTATTCAAAAGGTGCGTAACTCCCTTTTTAAGGTTCAAAACTATAGATAATATAAAAATTACAGTTAAAGAAAAACTTTGTCTGAAGAAAGAAATGTCACTTTCGCAGTACTAAATCTATCAATTGAATGTGATTTTCTTGGGTTTGTCAACCCAATTTGTAACGTTCTGGATCCGCCAGAAGTTCCTTTCAATATTTCCTACTTTTAAGTCTGCTTGTATTTTGTGTCGAATGATCAAACTGCATTGAGTGACCTTGTTGTAAATACTACAATCAATATTAAATCAGTGGCGGATCCAGGGGGGGTTCCATGGGTTCCTAGGAACCCCCCTCAAGCATAAAAAAAATAAAAAATCAAATAAATAATAAATGAAATAGAATGAAAACGCATCGTACAATGAATTTTTATTAAATACATTCACACTACATTTGCTACAGTTTGAGAGGCACAGTAAAAAAGTTCGTTTTAGGAAAATGCGAAAACAAGTGGAACCCCCCTTTGAAAAATCCTGGATCCGGCACTGTAAATATTATCACTAAGTAATGTGAAATAAAATCTTGCTTAAAAGTGTATCAACGTAAATGAGTTCTTTTTTACTCAGTGATGTTATCATTGTCCTACACCCCATTTATGACTAGATTACTGGCTATATCTCCCTCAGACAACAAATTGCATTCCCATTTTCGTTTACTACCACGTAAACCAGAAACCAGCCGGAATTTATGAATCTTAACTGTGGCGCGCACACAATAATTTACACAAACGTGGTGGGTGTAGTTTAATAAATAACATTACTGAGTTTGTAAAGTTATCTAAATAAAGAAATGACTTCAACTCTCCAAACAAAATGAGAAAACATCTGAAAAAAATAGACGAAAGCTGCCACGCGTGACCTAATGGGACATGCCGCTGTTTAGGGTGTCCGCGGGGGCAGTTCTTGTTCAGCCGCCATGTTGGTTCTTGGAGGGTTGCGACTTGTTGCTCGTAAGTATTGATCTATCTCGCATTTATCATCATATTTAGAAATATCTCTTAATAAACTTATTGTTTTATAATTACTTTAAATTATTGGACATATTTTTTTGTTAATCATGTTGTATTTTTAGTAAAAAAATCCATTCAAGCTTACGATTTGCAGATGATGAAGTTGTGCTACTGGCTTTTGCTTGAAGTACTAACTTTATACATGTTTGCAATGATATTTCATGTCTAATTCTAAACTACTAATAGCATTGCATATGAGAATGATACTCTGATTTCATGTTTTTCTTTTGCCTTTTGCATACGAAAAAAAAATATTTAAAAGGTACATGTAAACATGTAACTTATTAATTACAATGCAAATTACAAAGCAGATCAATCAGATCTGTGTATCACAAAGGCGAAAGGTTTGTTGCCTCTTAAGATAGTTTTGAACAGAGTTCTTTAGCTGCAATATGTCATTATGTAGAAGCATGTAAGCTTGCTTTTCATTGATTCAAGTTGTTTTATTCTAGGTAATCATGTTCAGCCAGTAGTTGGCTTGGCTGTTGTTGGACAGGTAATRTATATTATTAGGATTTGCTGTGTACTAGACTCCACTGATGGCAGTAATTAATGAAATATTCTTCATATCTACTTTAGCGAAAACTGAGTTATTTACCTAAGAAGGGTACAGGGGGAAGAGCTTCATTCAATGGAGTTTCAGCGACCGTGTTTGGCTCCACTGGTTTTATTGGTCGATATGTGGTTAACAGACTTTGTAAGTTACTAATGTTATAATTAATATTCTTATTAATTTGTTAATGACCTGTTTAATATGATTCTTAGGTCGTGCGGGTACACAGCTAACAGTGCCTTATAGAGGAGACCCACATGATGTCAGACATATACGTCTAATGGGGGAACTTGGRCAGATTAACTTCTTTGTAAGTACACAGTAGCCTCTGTTGATTGCTTGCGCAAGCGTATAAATTTACAAGCTTTTACTTGAACTAAGTGCTTAATTTGATGTTAATTTTAGTTAAGTAAAAACAAAGTGCAATAAAAATTGCCATCTGTATGCCATCTCAATATATTATATATGTCATTTACTGGCTGGGAGGTCTGTATAGGAAAACGCTGCCCAAGGTCTTGACAGTATTATTTGTATTTTCTGCAACTTTGCTCGCAACCTAACTGCACGATACCATGGATCAGGCAGATCTTGAAATACTGGACAACCCTCTACCCAATCACAGTGCGCGAATGGCTAGGATACCAGACCAAAAAATAACGTTGTTTTATGAAGTAAAACTCCAATAAAGTTAATTTATTTCTCATGACATCAACAGGATTACCACCTAAAAGACCAAGAGTCTGTAGCCAAGATGGTGAAGTACTCTAATGTTGTGGTGAATTTGATAGGGAAGGACTTTGAAACAAGGTATGAGAACATCCCTTAATGAATTCTTCCAACATTCTGATAGCATTTTCATTCTGTTAATGTATAATGATAAAATGATAATCATATCAGACGCGCACAAAAAAATCTTTGTTTAAACAACATATGTATGTACTAAAGCATGTTCAATCAAAAGAGTAGCATCATAACCCATTCATTTCAAATCAATGGTAATTAATTTTTATGATTTCAGGAATTTTAGTTTTGATGATGCTYTGATTGATGGACCAAGATCAATTGCTAAAGCAGCTAAARAAGCTGGTGTACAAAGACTGATTCATGTCTCAGCTCTCAATGCTGATTTGGASAGCCCTTCAAAGTTTCTACGTAGTAAGGTAATTTCACAAGTGTTATGTGCTATCTAAACACAATAATTCATTGACAATATATTCAATAATATATTCAATAATTCAAGGAAATGACTTACCCCTACCCCTCCCCTGCTGGGTTATGCCTCCACCCCTCCTCTACTGGGGTATAAACTACTAGTGTATAAACTACTGATTGGTCAGTTTTGTAATCTAACTGTATCTTGATAGGCTTTGGGTGAGATGGCAGTGCTAGAAGAGTTTCCTAATGCCACCATACTAAGACCAGGGACTGTGTTTGGTCACGAGGACAAGTTTCTCAATTTTTATGCATGTATGTTATATGATTATTTACTGCTTTGTAAGATTAGTAAATATGAACAACCTGTAAACAACATATGCTTGAAAGTATTTGTAATTTGATTTTGTTATATTGCAGATCTAAGGAACCTGCCATTTGGTATTCCCTTGATAGATGGAGGGATGAAGACTACAAAGATGCCAGTCCATGTAAGTGTGATAAGAAATATTTTTTTTCAATGACATGATGGAAATAATGATGATAATGTGGTGATTCAAGGTTGTAGATGTTGCTCAAGCTGTCTTGGAGGCCATCAAGGATGAAAGCAGTGCTGGCAAAACATATGAACTAGTAGGGTAAGTAACTGACTATACATGTAGTTAATAACGGATGTGCATCTCACATCAACTTACTAACAAACATGTATACTTGTTGAATTATTTTCTCTTGTCAATAAATCAATAAAGCTTCAGATATTTCAAACAAATAGTTAATATTGGAGTGCATGGTCTACTGCCATTCAATACAGCAGCATATACAATGTATATGGAAAAACTGGTGACTTCATTAATTCAGTAATCCATTTCCAGCTGTATGCTTTGAGGTTGAATCTTACTATACATGTGTCTACATTCATAGAGCATAAAGCAATAATAAAGAGTAAGCTTTTACTCATTTTTTACGATGCATAACAAAGGAAGGTCTAAAAAGAATTCTGGTGGACCGTGGACCGTGGCCCTTGCACCTACTGTAAGCTTATTGATTTACAGTAGTATAAATGTGACACAGTCTTGTTTATTTTTAGACCTAGAGAGTACTACCTGAACGATATTGTAGACTACATCTATCGTATCATGAGAACTAATTATCGTCACTACAAAGTACCAAGAAAGCTTTATGAGTAAGTGATAATTCTGTCTTGTTTTCATTTCTGTTATCTAAAAGAAACTTGATGATGATGTCACATGATCCTACCATAATGCATTGCACACCGTGATATCATAAGTCCCAATCTTTTAGCAATCTCTATTACACAGTGTTACCCTCAAAACAATGTAATGTCCTTGTATTTAGTAACAGTCCATGCAAATGCAAGAGATCTGTGAATATAGAAGAAAATAAAAATTGTTTTATCTAAATTTCTGAATATTTGTCACACATTTGAGGCCCAGTTTATACAGACTTAAAGTCCTCCTCTAGTAATCTGGTTTACATGACGTACCCCAAGGTACTGTTGTAGGGCCAACTCCTTTGTTTTCGTTTCCCTGGTTGATTTAAAACAATGGAGTTTTGCTCTGTGACCTGCGGGCAGCCTATCTCATGTAAACAGGGTCTTGTGCAGCAGTGTAAAAGAGATTGTGAAACTCAAAAATTGCCTGATATTTTCTAGTGGGAAGMGATAACATTAAAATTAGAATGGAAGAATACAAAATGTGTAACACCATCATATTAATATCTAGCTATATATTTCAAATTTCATTCTATTTTGTTCTAAAAATTCTTTAATACTATTTGTTTGTTTTGTAGAACTGTTGCTTATTTAATGGAATGGTCTATYTTTGATCCAAGACTGACACGAGACATGCTTTGCAGGGTAGGCACTTCATGTCCACTAAACACCATATTCTGCCACACATCAAAACCTGCTTTTTCATTTACATTCTGAAGTTTTTTTTTTGTTTTGTTTTGTTGTTTTGTTTTGTTTTGTTTTGTTTTTTGTTTTGTTTTGTTTTGTTTTGTTTTGTTTTGTTTTGTTTTGTTTTTTGTTTTGTTTTGTTTTGTTTTGTTTTGTTTTGTTTTTTGTTTTGTTTTGTTTTGTTTTGTTTTGTTTTGTTTTGTTTTGTTCTGTTTTGTTTTGTTTTGTTTTGTTTTGTTTTGTTTTGTTTTGTTTTGTTTTGTTCTGTTTTGTTTTGTTTTGTTTTGTTTTGTTTTTTTGTTTTGTTTTCTGTTTTTTGTTTGGTTTTGTTTTGTTTGTTGTTTTTTCTTGTTTTTTTTGTTTTGTTTTGTTTTTTTCTTGGGAAAAAGAAGTAAATATTTTTTGCTCATTGTTTGGTTCTCATAATTTMGTGATGATAACCAACTTTTCATTTTTGTGAATAAATTTGCTAAAGTTGTTGCAACTCTTTCAGCAATATCTCTCTGACAAGCTCACATCAGGTAATCCAGGCCTAGAAGACCTTGGAATAAACCCAACACCTCTAGAAGCTGAAGCAATCGCTGTACTGCGTAGACATAGAGCTCCTTCTTTCTACGAAGAAGCCATTGATGAAGATGAGACCTGCAGACCAACCAGTTCATATTGATAATTCAATGTTAAAAAGTCGTGTATGGAATATATTGTAAATAAAAAGCTCTTCCCACTATATCTTCCAATTATTTACATGCTTTTGCTATTAAATTTTATCAATCATTTCAAACATGTTGGTAGGTTATAGATCATACATTTTAATCAGATTTTTTCACAAAAAAGCATGGGCTATAGCCCACCAACATCCCTCAAAATGACCCTTTTTTGACCAAAATGCATGGACTATAGCCCACCAACATCMCTCAAAATGACCCTTTTTTGACCAAAATGCATGGACTATAGCCCACCAACATCGCTCAAAATGACCCTTTTTTGACCAAAATGCATGGACTATAGCCCACCAACATCGCTCAAAATGACCCTTTTTTGACCAAAATGCATGGACTATAGCCCACCAACATCGCTCAAAATGACCCTTTTTTGACCAAAATGCATGGACTATAGCCCACCAACATCGCTCAAAATGACCCTTTTTTGACCAAAATGCATGGACTATAGCCCACCAACATCGCTCAAAATGACCCTTTTTTGACCAAAATGCATGGACTATAGCCCACCAACATCGCTCAAAATGACCCTTTTTTGACCAAAATGCATGGACTATAGCCCACCAACATCGCTCAAAATGACCCTTTTTTGACCAAAATGCATGGACTATAGCCCACCAACATCGCTCAAAATGACCCTTTTTTGACCAAAATGCATGGACTATAGCCCACCAACATCGCTCAAAATGACCCTTTTTTGACCAAAATGCATGGACTATAGCCCACCAACATCGCTCAAAATGACCCTTTTTTGACCAAAATGCATGGACTATAGCCCACCAACATCGCTCAAAATGACCCTTTTTTGACCAAAATGCATGGACTATAGCCCACCAACATCGCTCAAAATGACCCTTTTTTGATCAAAATGCATGGACTATAGCCCACCAACATCGCTCAAAATGACCTTTTTTTGACCAAAATGCATGGACTATAGCCCACCAACATCGCTCAAAATGACCCTTTTTTGACCAAAATGCATGGACTATAGCCCACCAACATCGCTCAAAATGACCCTTTTTTGACCAAAATGCATGGACTATAGCCCACCAACATCGCTCAAAATGACCCTTTTTTGACCAAAATGCATGGACTATAGCCCACCAACATCGCTCAAAATGACCCTTTTTTGACCAAAATGCATGGACTATAGCCCACCAACATCGCTCAAAATGACCCTTTTTTGACCAAAATGCATGGACTATAGCCCACCAACATCGCTCAAAATGACCCTTTTTTGACCAAAATGCATGGACTATAGCCCACCAACATCGCTCAAAATGACCCTTTTTTGACCAAAATGCATGGACTATAGCCCACCAACATCGCTCAAAATGACCCTTTTTTGACCAAAATGCATGGACTATAGCCCACCAACATCGCTCAAAATGACCCTTTTTTGACCAAAATGCATGGACTATAGCCCACCAACATCGCTCAAAATG